ATTTTATTGAAATGACGTAATTTTTAGATAATTTTCCTTTTAATCTTTGAAAGGTAAGACTGATAAATATTAACCCTTTATATATAATTATAAGTTTATAAATATTATATGATATTAAATAAATTTATTTTAGTATTAAATGATTATATATAATATTATAAGTAAATTTTTAAATAAAAAATTAATTATACGACAATAAATTGTGTAATAAATTTATATTTAAAAATGACATTACAACTATAATATTTTCATAATCTTTATAATATGGCTTAAGTTTAAAATTTAAGATAAATAGTAAGAAAATTTAGAGTAAGAGACGAACTTTTTGTTAGAAGTTAATAATTCTCTTATACATAACTTTTACCCATATTATTTATATAAAATTTTAATTTTTTATTTTTTTTATTATAAATATATAACTAAAATTTATCATAATTTTTTATATAAAAAAGGTAATTATTATATTTAAAAAATAGAATAAATAGTGAATAAACCTCAATAATTTATAATGAAATGATGAATTATTAAGATTTTGTATAAATAAGATATAAAAATTATGTGTAAATGAATTTTAACTCATTCATTACATAAACAAAAAAGTAAAAGAGTTTTTCTAAATTGAGTCCTAAATATGTGTTTATTGCACATTTTCTTTATTAATTTGTATCAAAAATTACAAAAATAAATTTTTAGAGTACGTGTTAGAATATTTCAAAGTAAAAGTAAAAACGATCGAAAACCTTATTCTTATTTCTCAATGGTATAATCTTTATTGAAAAACTTGACACTAGTATATACACACCAAGAAATAGTTATGCTTATACAATAAATTATTTATATCACATAAATTTTTAAATTTTTTCTTTTAAAATAGTGATTTTATTTACTCTAATTGTTAAAAACTAAAACTGTTAGTTAATAAATAACAAAACAATTAAAATTTATAACTTAACTTATTAAAATTAATTTATATGTTAATATTTTTAAATACTATAACTGACTGTTTATAAAAAAATAAATAAAAAAAATTGTACAACCCTAACAATTTCTTACGTGACCCACGTCCTACCCACCACGTTCACATAATTCTCTGTTACAATTCGGTTCTTCCAATTGCTCGTCTTTTTGATGGACTCACATGGGAGGGTCACTTCCAAGGTCACCAAATCGTGAATTAGCAAAAGGGAACGTGAACATGCATCTAAAGGCATACTGTTTACTGACAATGTCAAAGGAACTTTTCAATATCAGTTCTCAGAATTAAGCCACGATTTCCTTGTGAATCTAACGGAAAATCGTATGGTTTTGCCCCACTGCCTCCCAGCATTGGCACAGCGGTGGGATGCCACGTTGCAGCCATGCAGCACCTTGCGCTTTTTACAACAAAGAAAGAGCTTACAAGCTTTAACAGTGTGGTTGGGTTGGTGTACCTGGATGGGAAAGGGTGCAGAGGGAGGGAAAGATATCTCGCCCTCCTTATTTGGATTTTTTTATTAATAGAGAAGGAGAACGATGGAGGGGTATTAAAACTGTTCCTCCGTTTCTCTGTTTTTTATATATCTTTTTAAATTAGAGAAATTACAAGAGATTTAATTTTTATATATTTAATTTTTAAAAAAATAAATATATAAAAATATTTTATTTCATTTATTTTGAATTAATAGATTTTAAAATTTTTTATTTTATTTTATTTTATTTTTCTTTATATTATTTAATTAAATAAATATTATCATTCCCTTCTCTTCACTTTTATCTATCTAAATGAAGTTAATATCAATCAATTTCTTCCTTTCACTTCTTCTCCCCTCTCATCCCTTCACCTCTTCTTTATTAATTTTTATCCAAACAAAAACTAAAACAAAAGTAGAAAATGAATGATCTTGAACTATTAAGTTATAATATTGGTTAATGTTGCAATCCAATTGGTCGAAAAATTCGTCCCCCCTTCTTTTGTTTCCCTTAAACCAACCATATGCTAAATTCAGAATCAGAATTCAGAATGGATAACCATTCTCTTCGCTGCTCATAATACAAAACTCAACAAGGAAATCCAGGCCAGACATGATGCTACCAGGAACTAAAAGACTGACATGAAAACATGATTCACGTTGTCTACACTGATGGTCCAAAAAATTGATGGCACAAAGTTTATACATGAAATAAAATAGAATTTGATACTAAATGCACCTTGTATTTTTTCTTCCTTTCTTTCTTTCTCCCCAAACTCCCTGCTTGGGATAGTGATGTAGGGAAAATGAAGAAAAAAAAACAGATAAAATTGAAAACACTTGGTCAATGTTCGTTTGCTTTCCTGAGTTTCCACAAACATTAAAGAGAAGAAACTCGAGACCAATTTTATGATGTCTCCAAGTTGGGATAATTGTGTTACTGTTACTTGACTTCAAGGGCTGGACAGGTTTTTGAGATCCTCGTCCTTGGCATACCAGTTTGGTATTATCTTTGATATGTGGGGATAAAGATCCTTGTATGAATTTCGGATTGTCCCTTCCGCAACTCCAGTGGCTATTGAAATCTCTGCATCCAACCAAATCTTCTTTCCATCAAATGCATGAATTGCATTTCGAGTTCATATATAATGCAAACATGTCCAGCTAGTTCATATGCATTTTTAGTTGACATATAATATAAATAACAAACCTCGAAGAGGCTTCTTATTATCTGAAAGC